GATTGGCTGTGTTTCAAAACCCTGTGGGCTGTACTATGTTTGTGGATTGTGAATAAAAGAGGCTGTATGTGCCAGTACAGTCAGTTCTGCTTGACCTCAAAACGAAGTGTGGTCTCGTTATTGGGGGATTGGATTGTATGTTGATTGCCAGGAGTGTAAGCTGATTGTATGCTTTTCCTGTTCAGCTGCTTACAGCATTCATATGCTTGAGAGCATTCATATGCTTCTCCGGTTCGGTGGTTATGGTGTCTGCTGCAGTGCTTGGAGTCCTCAGGAAGCGCTAGGAGCATCCTTCAACAGAGGTACCCAGTCGGGGTGCCAGGTGATCCGTTACATTATGCTTTGTCGTAAACTGTCTTGCAAATGCTGCTAGGGCATTGTACAACTGTCTGTTAATCATAAGCACACAAAAAATAAAGTATTATAAAAAAAAAAATATTAAACATTTTATTTGTGTAATACCAGGAATATAATATTATACATTATTTATTATATGTATAATACATGGGATATAATATTAAACATTATTTATTATATGTGTAATACATGGTGTATAATATTAAACATTATTTATTATTTGTGTAATATATGGTATATAATATTAAACATTATTTATTATATGTGTAATACCTGGTGTATAATATTATACATTATTTATTATATGTGTAATACATGGTGTATAATTTTATACATTATTTATTATATGTGTAATACATGGGATATAGTAATATACATTATTTATTTTATAATGTAATACATGGGATATAATATTGTACATTATTTATTATATGTGTAATACATGGTGTATAATATTATACATTATTTATTATATGTGTTATACATGGGGTATAATATTATACATTATTTATTACATGTGTAATAGATGCTATATAATATTATACAGGGTTTATTATATGTGTAATACATGGTATGTAATATTATACAGGATTTATTATATGTGTAATACATGGGATATAATATTATACTGCATTTATTATATGTGTAATACATGGTGTATAATATTATACATTATTTATTATATGTATAATACATGGTATATAATATTATACTGGATTTATTATATGTGTAATACATGGTATATAATATTAAACATTATTTATTATGCATGTAATCCATGGGATATAATAATATACATTATTTATTATACATATAATACATGTTATATAATATACTGGATTTATTAAATTTATAATACTAGGTATATAATATTATACTGGATTTATTATATGTGTAATACATGGGATATAATATTATACATTATTTATTATACATGTAATACATGTTATATAATATACTGGATTTATTAAACTTATAATACTAGGTATATAATATTTTACAGGATTTATTATATGTGTAATTCATGGTATATAATAATAATAATAATATATAGGGTTTATTAGGCTCTTTTTTTTGTTTTTATATGTTCTTTATTTTTGCAGGCAAGCATAAACATAGCGGTACATCATGTGAGTATAGAAAATCAATCAACAGATATACACTTTGTCATGGATTAAATCGCAATTAAAAGAAAGAACCATTTTTAAATTTGAGATAAACGTAAATCCCTCTTATCAGCATCATAGCGTAGTCCTAGTATGGGACAGAGGTTGCTTGTTGGAAGCTTGGAGCGCCCCTCGGGTAACTATGAGGAGCGCGTCGTGTTACATCTGGATCTAAGGCACGTATTGGGCTCTAATTTTATTTTATTTTTAAATACTGGTATCAGCTATTTTTAAAAACTCTCACTAACTTTTCTGCTTTCTGTATCCCGGGTCCCCAGTTTTTATATTCAAAATATAGAGGTAACAAAATAGTCTGCTTGAAAAAAATTGGGCAAAAACCAAACAAGTCTGTACTGTTTAGCCACAGAGCAGAGTATTTTATCATAACTGGACAGCATGAACAGTATCCCTGCTTTGCACATTAACATTAAATGCCTGTTTGTTCATAAGTGTTTTAAAAACACTATCTTTATTTTTCAGGAGATCTGAAGGTTTTCCACACTCCACAACTTGTCCCTGATTAAGGACAGCAACACATTGCGCATTCTTGATTGTGGACAATCGATGTGCAATGATGAGAACCGTCCGCCCATACATGAGCCGATCCAGTGCTTCCTGAAGTAGGGATTCATTTTCAGCATCCAGTGCACTTGTTGCTTCATCCAGAAATAGAATTTTAGGGTTCTTAAGAAGTGCCCGTGCTATGGCGATTCGTTGTTTCTGCCCACCTGAAAGTAGTACTCCTTTCTCACCTACTAATGTGTCAAATCCATTTGGAAAGCTTTCGATGAAGTCCAAAGCGTTAGCAATTTTTGCAACGTGGCGAATGTCTTCTTTTGTGACTACGGAGGGATCCTCAGCACCATAGGCAATGTTTTCAAATATAGAACATGAGAAAAGTATTGGCTCCTGGCTAACAGTTCCAATCTTTGTACGTAACCACAGAGGATTCAACTGGCACACATCATGACCATCAATATAAATGGATCCAGAGTTGGGATCATACAGTCTTAGTAGTAACGAGACAAGTGTTGATTTTCCAGATCCACTTGGGCCTACGACTGCCGTGACCGTACCGGACGGAATGGAGAGGTTAAGGCCAGAGAAAACTGAAGCATTGGGACGACTTGGGTAGGTGAAGCAGACATTGCGAAACTCCAGGGAGCCTTTAAACACTTCAGGGCTTAATACCAAACCCTCATTGAAAGGCAACAAAGGTTTTCTTTCAATAAGCTCCCAGAGACGGCTTCCAGCACCAAATCCCTTCATTAACTCTGAATAGAATGAGCTAATCCCTCCAATACTTATTCCTACCCAGAAGGCATACATGAGAAAGGATGAGAGCTCCCCCACTGTCATATGTGCAGCTCCTGTTAGTAGCCCCCCTTTATATAGAACTGCCAGAATAATCATGTTCCCAGACAAACCAGTTAGTCCAAAGAAACCAGCCTGAGCGATAGCCTCCTTATCGGCTAAATCGAGCACACGATCTACTTTACTGTTGTACTTTTTCATTTCAAGCATCTCCTTCCCAAAGGCTCGGACTGTTCTTATGCTACCAATACGCTCTTCAGCTAACTGAGTGGCTTCTGCGAGTGAATCTTGAGTCAATTTAGAAAGTTTTCGCAGGTATTTTCCATATAATACTGCTACAATTGCAAGAGGGGGTACAACGCCCAAAACAAAGATAGCAAGTTGTGGGGAGACAAAAAACATCATGCCAACGCCAACAAATGCCTGAGCTAAGGCGCGTAGGCCATCTGAGAGGTTCTCTGTAACAGATCGGCCGAGGATCACACTGTCTGAAGACAAACGGTTAATCACTTCTCCAGTCCGAGTCTTGTCAAAGAATCCTACTTCCTGTTGCAAAAGGGAGGAGAACAGGGAAGAGCGAAGCCGTCGCACAATACGTTGTCCTGAGATTTGCATGAAGTATACACGAAAAGCATTAGCAGCAGCCCCACAAAGGAAGACTCCACTAAGCAAGGTACATAAAGAAGTAAGGCTGGAGGTAAGGTCCTCCGTTGGATTGGAATATATGACGTCAATGACTTTACCCAGGAAAAATGGTGCAGACATGGTAATCATACTGGATATTGCAAGGAATCCCACAGCAGCTGATAACTTCCACTTTTCCGGAGAAGCCAGTGAAATAAGTCTTTTCATGTCATCTGCTGCAAGGGTTCCCTTTTTAGATTCTTGGAGATCTTTCGATCTAATCTCACTTTCTTTTCCATCCTCTGTCTGGGACGAAAACGAACGGCTCTTCCTCGTCGGAAACGCTGCTCTGGCCTCACGAATAACAGAAGCAGGCAATCGGACTTGCCGCGGGGAACCCACGAACATTCTTGCTGACAAGGTGGACACTGGGTTGGTCGGCTTCACTAGCCCGGGGTAACATTTTGGTGTCTGTCTGCTCTGTGACACTTTAACAGTCACTGTTCTGTAACATGCTGCCGGAAGTATACTCTGCTGGTTTCTCATGCCATAAAATGTCCTGTACCCTGCTCCAGGCATGTGCAGGAGCCACAGAGAGGCGCGTAGCATTTCTGGTAAATCCCAACAGCAGTTAAAATAGTAGAAACAAATATCCGTGTTACAGCAAGGGGGAGGGGGTAAAAAAAACTACAAATTCCCAGGGAAGATTGTCCAAAAAAACCTCACATAATATTTATGGTGGTGAAGGTATCCATGGTTCATATTATATTGCAAAATGAAGTGTCCAAGGGCCCAGAACAGTCCTCCCGGGTAGAAGCTCTGAAGGTCAGTAATTAGAGGGTCACCTCGTGCTAGTTTCACCCATGTAGTCGATTCACTGATGTGTTGTTTGCGTAAGCTTTGCAGTGTCTGTGTAAGGCTGATTTCCATTCAGTATCTTCCTTACCATAACCCTTACCCATGCAGCTTTCCTCCCCTGTGGCTGAAGTTCTCAGATAAGCATACACTCCTCCCTTCTTCTTGGGGTGTGTGATGTAAAGGTTTTGCTTATGTCAGTACTGTATTAGCTATATAGGGTTTATTATATGTGTAATACATGGTGTATAATATTATACAGGATTTATTATATGTGTAATACATGTTGTATAATATCATACAGGGTTTATTATATGTGTAATACATGGTGTATAATATTATACAGGGTTTATTATATGTGTAATACATGGTGTATAATATTATACAGGGTTTATTATATGTGTAATACATGGTGTATAATATCATACAGGGTTTATTATATATGTAATACATGGTATATAATATCATACAGGGTTTATTATATGTGTAATACATGGTGTATAATATCATACTGCATTTATTATATGTGTAATACATGGTGTATAATATCATACAGGGTTTATTATATGTGTAATACATGCTGTATAATATCATACAGGGTTTATTGTATGTGTAATACATGGTGTATATCATACAGGGTTTATTATATTTGTAATACATGGTGTATAATATCATACAGGGTGGGTTTATTATATGTGTAATACATGGTGTATAATATCATACAGGGTTTATTATATGTGTAATACATGCTGTATAATATCATACAGGGTTTATTATATGTGTAATACATGGTGTATAATATCATACTGCATTTATTATATGTGTAATACATGGTGTATAATATCATACAGGGTTTATTATATGTGTAATACATGCTGTATAATATCATACAGGGTTTATTATATGTGTAATACATGGTATATAATATCATACAGGGTTTATTATATTTGTAATACATGGTGTATAATATCATACAGGGTGGGTTTATTATATGTGTAATACATGGTGTATAATATCATACAGGGTTTATTATATGTGTAATACATGGTGTATAATATCATACAGAGTTTATTATATGTGTAATACATGGTGTATAATATTATACAGGATTTATTATATGTATAATACATGGTGTATAATATTATACAGGATTTATTATATGTGTAATACATGTTGTATAATATCATACAGGGTTTATTATATGTGTAATACATGGTGTATAATATCATACAGAGTTTATTATATGTGTAATACATGGTGTATAATATTATACAGGGTTTATTATATGTGTAATACATGGTGTATAATATCATACAGAGTTTATTATATGTGTAATACATGGTGTATAATATTATACAGGATTTATTATATGTGTAATACATGTTGTATAATATCATACAGGGTTTATTATATGTGTAATACATGGTGTATAATATCATACAGAGTTTATTATATGTGTAATACATGGTGTATAATATTATACAGGATTTATTATATGTGTAATACATGTTGTATAATATCATACAGGGTTTATTATATGTGTAATACATGGTGTATAATATTATACAGGGTTTATTATATGTGTAATACATGTTGTATAATATTATACAGGGTTTATTATATGTGT